TCAAAAATGTAAAACCGCACAATATGATTGAGCTCGGCGTTCATAGTGGTTCATTATACCTAATGAAATCATTGAAGCACAAATGAAAACAACAAAACTAATACTAAATGAAAAAAGCAAAACTCAACATTAGTATATTGGTGATTGATTTCTCGAGATTCATTCGCTCTTGAAATCGTTGATCAGATGATGTCATCACGATACCTTGCAAAAATAATAACAAACTAGTCTCATTCTTAGAACCGTTGATTGATGATTAATTACATAACCTTCTAGCATGCGTGAAGGACTTTACGTACAATAAACTAATGATAAGATTTAGAGCAATTTGATATGATGTCGGTGGTAAGTATTCCTATGAGTTTATTCGTGTCAATTTGTACAGACCTATAAAGGAAGTTCACTAAGTTTTGATCCGCTTAGTCAATATATTCATTTATTAAGTGAGTCAAAACTTAGTGAACACCCTTTATGCNACTGTTGAGCATAAGAAGGCACCTCTCAACTGAAACTGCTCTGATCGCTGTCAAAAAAAAAGCATAAACTTTCGCTGGTCTCATCTTTTACTCTAGAATTTACTTCTTTGTTTATTTTTCTGTCATATTGTGGCAGAGAACGATTATTTCTTCTGAACACAAGAAAGTATCGTTTTTTTCCTCTAACCAAGTGTTATCAGACGAATACACGGTAATCGAAGGAGAAACAGCAAAGTCTTCAGTTTTAAAGGCTTTTTTCCTCTTTCTGTAAGACCAGTAACATTAAAACAATCTCCACAGTATTTTTTGTTGATATTCTTTCTTACCGAAGTGGAGATGCTCGCTCCAAATATAAGATATTTGATACTTCAAAACCATTCTTTAGTAAATGTCATAACACAAGTGTGATGATGTTGAAGTTCCTCATGAAATATCCATTGGGATATTTTTAGCTATATGAAAACAAACGAATGAATACCGTGAAAAAATTTTCTGACTTACTAGATAATTCCAATTTCCGTAATGAAAACTATGCCGCTACAATTACTGTTCATTTGGGTGGATGTCGGCTAGCACTTTGACAGCAACATCATTTTATTGCAATTTGAACGTTTGTGAAAATTAATAAAATTTAGCAACAGTGTGAAAATCACAAAATTGAAATATTAGTAGATTATGCACGAATACATTTAGTCAAACCCTTATATCACTAGTAATTTAGGAAAAGGTAATAGGATAAGATTCCCGGTGTCATTTATTTAATATATCGGCTAGATAAATAATTCAAAAACACTTGATTGGTTTTTTCAAACAATACGAAAAAAATGTCAAAGTAAGCCCTTATTAGCCATTGGCCTTGAGCTTTTTGTTAAAGTTTCAAACAGATTACGGATTAGAGGATGTGCGTGTGCGTTAAGAGAAGAACCATACCCAACTTCATATCCACTCTCAAGGCATTTAATTGATTTTCTAATAAAAATTAAAAGAAGAATATAATGCATTTAAAAGATTGTTCGTTGTATATTTTTTTAAAGTGCTGTAAAAGAGATGAAGAGAATAATCGAAGAGTTAATTTCCTGAAAAAACTTCATATTCAATTTACTTGGTAATATCTTTGCTCACTTTATCACTGAAACTCGTCGTAGTTATTCGCTGTTTGCTTGAATGAATACTCATTTGAATATTACACAAAATATGGAAAAGTCTTCAAGTAAATCGAATGCAACAGCTAGAATAAAATTGACACAGTTCTTGTTTTCTACAGATTATTTATAATCACGCACGTACTATTGGTATAGAAAAACTTTTACTTTGTAACACAGTTTTTTTCCTTTACTGACGTGATAAGATTACACTGAAAAGTTGTTATGAAATGAATTTGTATCGATCTCTTTTATAATATTGAATAATCCCGACTTTACTTGAGTACTATTATGCAATTTTTACATACATATAATGTCTAAGTCATTGAATGTTTGTTTTTTCAAAAAAATATTTTATTGGAAACTGTCAAATTAATTATTCTTTAAAATTTAATCATCAATTTTCATAAACAGCATTTTTTTTTCTTTTATTTAAATACTAAATAATATTGACTGTTCTTCTTTAGTTTCCATGTAAGACGTTTGCTTGTGCTGCTACTGGCATACCCTCTGTAAATAACCACTCAAACAACGCTTATCGGTTTCACACAGATAGAATGGCATTGAGAACCTAGTCGATCGTTTAAATACTAGACTACGTTCGGCTAATTGCCATTATTGTGCACACGTTATACTGAACCGTCTAGTGATGGCTTACTGGCCATCTTTGTTCAGTTTAAATCATACATGAGTTATTGAAATCATTTTGGAGTTTTTCATTAATGTTTGTTCAATGTGTTAACTATGAACTATAAGTATAATAGATGCCATGAGCTTTTTCCAGTTGATCGAAAACAATTATCATAGAATTTGTTCATGGGAACTTACCACATTCAAGATAAAAGATTTCTTTTCCACACTTTCTTCTAAATCTACAATATCAAAGAAATCGTATTTCTATCCCATGTAAAAAAATGACGGAAAAAATCAGATTTGAATCGATTTTTTTCTGATTAATAATCGATTAAAATGGCACGATTTTAATCCGATTTTTAATCCTCAAAAATCGATTCTTATGATTAAAAATCTGATTAAAATCGTGCCATTTTAATCGATTATTAATCAGAAAAAAATCGATTCAAATCTGATTTTTCTCGTCATTTTTTTTAAATGAGGGTGTTGTAACCTACTCCTACTTGATAATCGCTTTTAATCGATTCTTACCTGATAATCGATTTTAATCATATTCATCGGAGATATGTGCTTTTCTCGAGATTCGAATGTGGAACCTAATTTTTTCATATATTTTTGGATTCCCCGCTGATATAAACTATAAGGCTGAAACTCGACAAATACATTAAAATTGGAACTGGTATATAAACTGTTTCAATTGAGATTGCGCAATTACTTCATTAATCGATTAAAACCGAGGAAAATCGATTAAATTCGATTATTTAGATTTTTCCGAAAAAAAAATCGATTTTAATCGATTGAAATAATAGATTAAAATCGATTAGATTATTAATCGATTATTTAGATTTCTCAGAAAAAAAATCGACTTTAAAGGATTTTTACTCAGTAAAATCGATTATAATCGATTCTCGACTAGAATTTAATCAGAATTTGCCACTTGTAATCGATTTTTCGCGATTTTTCTCTCAAAAATCGATTTTAATCCGATTTCCAGGCTTGTTTTTTTACATGGGTAATTGCAATACGGACAATAATTTTCTTAGTATTAGAAACTTCCTACATAATTATTGATTCTCTATTCGCCCACTCTTGTAATTTGTCATGATTTTACATATGAAACTTGAGTTTTTCATTAGAAAAAAATAGACATAAAATCTTCTTACTACAAGACACTTATTGCTTCACTAACATGCTTCTGCGTAATTTATATAGCATTTGAGGATTCAGTAGCTTAGTATCTGAAAAGGGGTGTGGGTGTGGGTGTGTGTGAGTGTGAGTGTGAGTGTGGGTGTGGGTGTGGGTGTGGGTGGATGCGGGTGTAGATGCCGGTAAACTGCAGATTCGCACCCACACCCACCCACAGCCACATCCACACCCACAAACTTTGAAATATCATTTGCCTTTTTCTGGCAGAAAGCGAAGTGAAAATAATCGAACAATGACGTTGCAAAGTGAATAGGATTGGAACATTTCTCGTAGGAGGACAGCCTAATAGCAGATCGTCTATTGAAGAAGGGGTCGGCTCACGTTAGGTTTCTGTCTTTCAGACCTGCGCCACAAAAATACGAATAACCCTGAAGGCGTCTGGCACGTCTGCGAATGGAGAGGGGGGCATATTTCTACCTTCATTCTTCAACATTCGTTTTACATTGTATTTCAAAAAATAGTTTGGATCGCAATAATTTTGAATATGCAATCTTTGATGAAATATAGACTAACAAGCTATTCATGTGTGGGTGTGGGTGTAGCGTGTGTCTCAGTCTTGTCTTCATGACCCACATCCCACACCCACACACTTCTTCTTCATCGATTAGACGGTCGAATGACAGAGGAAAATTTTTGAGTGATAAAAAGACAACATGTCCGCTATGTAAAATAGGGAAGACAGCATCATGTCGAATCGATTAGCGTTGAATCTGGAGCAAAAAATTGCACTTATCAAAGATAATCAAAATGGTCAGGGTTTGTCAGCGCGTAAATTAACCGACAAATGCAATATGTCAAAAAGTAGTGTCACTGACATTCTTCTTCGCCGCGAAGAGTTCTGCTTTGATAATGTCTGCAACTCGAACAAAGTCATCAAACGAAAGCGCAAACGGACAAGCAATCGATCAACTTGTCTTTGAATGCTTTACTATAAAACGAGCGAAACAGATTCCTATTTCGGCATCAATACTACATAATTTATCTATTTGAGTTGAATATAATGCTTTGTATTAAATAGCAAAAAAAGAAGAAATGAACAAATAACTAAATAATCTTTATAACCTACATATTGTTCGTATTTTTTTCTCTAGAAAACTTATTGAAAAACACCAGAGGCTGCTTTAATAGCAGCTTAAGCACAATCAATTTCAAGTTGAGTTTCAGGTAGAGCATCCCAGGCAGCCTAAAAAAATAGAAAAAAAAAACAGATAATAATTTTATTTATTTGTAAGGAGATTTTGTTTTACTTTACAATCAAGATTTTCAATAGGTGTTACTTCTTCAGCTAATAAGTGAACATTTCAATCTGGATGATAACCAACTGAACCACTACTTACTAAAAAAACAAATAAAAATTCTGTTAAAAAATATTGCTCGGCATTTCGTAGTGTCAAGGAATCAACAAAAATGTATGTCATTTGAATTAATTATCTTTTGAGCTTAAATGTAAAGAGTAGCTTCTTCATTTTGTTATTTTCAATTTAATCAGTTAACTTTTTGAGTTTCGTATAGATCGATATGATCTGAGAAAAAACAACTTCATTTACCAAAAAATCGTTTTTGTATTTTCATCTGATTCAAACACAGAGACAACACCTGGTTTAAGTACATTAAGAATAGGTGCGTGATGAGCTACAAAAGATTTAGAAATAGAATTCAAATATTTTTTAATTTTTAATTTTACATACCAAGAATACCCATATTACCACTTATTGTATAAACATCAATTTGTCGTATATTTTTTGCTTGATTATAAAAATCCTAAATCAATAAAAATATATTTGATTTTCTTTTTTCACTATCTCAATGATGTTTTTACTTCAGATGGTGAAGCAAATGTAAAAACCATATCTGCTGCTGATTCAGAAGCTGGAGCTGATGCAGATGTAGTAGCTAGTGTACACCCTGACATTAGCGTAAAAACAGGATTAGGACTTGCAATTGTTGTTCTAATTACTAAACGAGCAGCAGACATAGACATCTGCAGTGGAATAAACAAAATAGTTCAATTAAAAATCACTCAGGTTAAACAATAAAAAGAAAGGAGAAAAGTGTTGGACATATATCTATGGCTAAAACTCGATGGACATCTCTAATTTGTTGATTATTTCAAATATTTGCATATATGCGATGATCACTAAACCCCCTCCCATATTAGAAGCCCCCCGGGGCTTCTATTAGGCCTTGCAAACTTTGGCCGGATTTTACTGGGAAAAATTGAAAACTTTGCTGGATAGATCCTTTAAAGGGGGCTTCTAATATGGGAGGGGCTTCTATTACGGGGAGGGGTTTAAAGAAAATAATAATAATAAATCATAACTATCTCATTATTCTTCTTACACATTCATTAAGACTGAAGAAAATCCAGTAATTCTTCATTACATGTTTCTTTTGTTCATAGTTTACTATTAACTCTATTGATATATTCTTGTAAACAATGTTTAAATTTTTCACATGTATCTTCTTCACCACATAATTCTTTTCATTTTGTTAACGGATCCTATTTAATTAGAGAAAAACAATTTAATAATAATTTGTATATTTTTCGATGAAATAGATGCTATTGCTAATTCATGATTAAGTTTATGAAATTCATAAGTTTTGTATTTACTCAAAAAAAACAAGATTTTAATATTATTTTTTCGTTGATTAAAGTCTATCTCATGTTAGTGATCGTGTTATTGCTGCACTTTTCATTGAAATGATGGCAATAAAAGATTGAAAAGTGTAACAATTATTGCAGCTACGAATTGACCTGATTGTATTGATCCAGCATGTAAACATGATTATAATTATTAATATAAGACAAAAAAGAGTAATTTACTTCGTTTTCCATAGGGACTAATGCGACCTGGACATTTTCATCATCTTGTTTGTGTCCAATTGCCAGGTGAAAAAAAAAATATCTTGAAATATTTCAAATTCGATTTCGTCATAAACCAATTAATCCTTATATTGAAATAGAACGTTTAGTTGAATTGACAAAAAATTATTCAGGTGCAGAAATTGCTGCTGTTTGTGATGAAGCAGGGTTGATTCCTTTACGTGATAGTCTTGATGCTCCTCATATTGAATGACAACGTTTTGAATGTGCTTTAGCTTCTATTAAACTAAGAACAAGTAATGAACATATAAGAAAGCTTCACAAAAAAAACAAGGGCGCAAAAAAAAAGCAACGATGCAAAATAAACAACAGTGCACGAAAAACAATAACGGCGCTCCAACATAAACGTCAAATTGTGGATACTACACTTGCTTTATCAGTCAGGCTATGAACCAAGCTCGAGAACGAAGCCATTAATTTCACGAATTGTATATGTTCTTTATTTTTGAATCTAAAAAAATTGTTTTATTGAATTTATATCATAAATTTTTACTTTATACGAAAAACAACTTTTGTTAAACTATCGAAGATCTTAAATTCTTTAATGGTGAAAAGTTCATTCAATTCATTAATAACTAAAATTATTGAATAAAAGTTTCTTGTTTTGACGAATAATATAAAATTAAAAGTTACATGTTATAATTTGTTCTTTTGTATTTAAATTTCTGGCAACGTCGATTTCATCAGTTTGTTCCCATGTAGTAAAAACCGGATAAAAACTGGCGGTTTACCGCTAAAATCGATCCGGTTTTTGTGAGATGGGTTGTGTCTAAAACAAAAAAAATTTTTGTAGATCTATTTTTAGTCCTGTTTAATAAGAATAACTGTCTACAAATTCTAGAAAATTAATTACCTCATCTATAGCTATGTGACTTTGAATCGGGTGAATATTATCAACTCTACTTTGTTGTTTTTGAGTGAGAGAGGGTGCACTGGCCGACTGGGAAACATATTTCATTGTTTTTCATTGATTAAATAATAAATGAGTCATCACTTTCGTTCTCTTTTTTTGTCCAAAAGAAAATTATTGGTCGGAGGAAGGATAGGTTACAGAAAGGAAACTCATATTGATTTTTTTTCTTTTTTGTTTCAATCACAAAATCAAGATTGTACGTTGTGTCTATGAACAAACGAACTCGTCAAGACAAAAATTTATATCTAAGGGTGACCCTGTATCTTTAGTATCATTTATAATAAAGGATAAAAATAAATGAATCCTTTGTTAAAAAATAAAGAGAAAATAAATTAATAGATTATACTTTTTACGAAAGATTGGAAGGGCACTAGAGTCACGAAATAAGTCTGCAGAAAGGGTTTTACCCAAGGAGAAAACGGCGAACTTTTGTGCCTGAAGTTACTTTTAGCTACTTGAAGACTACTTTGAACTACTTCAAGTTGGTTTTTTGCATACTTAGAGGCTACTTTAAGCTACTTGAGTAGTACTTTCAGCTATACTTTGAAGTACTTCAGGCTACTTTGCACTACTTGATGGAACTTCGAGCTACGTTTAGATGAATACGGTTGTGATTTGTATGTGTTATCACTTTGATTCCTTGTTCTTTTGATAAATAATAACACAATATTGAAAAAGTCGATGATGTTAGGGATAGTACAATGTACAGTAGTAGAAATTATTTTAAAACAACTTTTTCAAGAAAAAAATGGATAAACAAGAAGAACATCGTAGCTCAAATAGACTGGTAGAAAGGTGTTGAAATGGAGAAGACATGCTCGTATACGGCTTTTATTTGTTCATGGATATTGCTCAACTTTGACAGATTACGACGCTTAGTACCATATGTAGTTTGTAAGTGTAGATTTTAGATGTGGACGCATTTTTTGTGTCTTTACTCTCACATCCACAATTATGTTATTTAGCACTTGGCATATCACTTTCAGCAACAGGTATTTTCATACATATGTAGGTAGACCTTTTCGCTGTTATTCAATTAATAGCGGGTGCTACAGTGGTTAACACTTTCTGATCACAATCGATTAATTTTGCACAAAATTTACTACGTAAGCCTGAGGTTTTTGCATATTTGCAAACAATTGGATTCTAAGAAACGGATGCTATTAAAATTGATTCATAGATTAAAAATCTAAAACCGCACAATATTATCGAGCTTGGTATTCATAGTGGTTCATTATACCTAACGAAATCATTGAAGCACAACTGAAAACAACAAAACTAACACTAAGTGAAAAAAGCGAAACTCAACATTAGTTTATTGGTGATTGATTTCTCTAGAATCTTTCGCTCTTAAAGTCGTTGATCAGAGGATGTCATCACGACACGTTGCAAAAATAATGACAAACTAATCTCATGCGTAGAACTGTTTATTGATAATTAATTATATAACCTTCTAGCATATTTGAAGAAATTTACGGACAATAAACTAATGATACGGTTTAGAGCAGGTTGAGATGATCTTGGTGGTAAGTATTCCTATGAGTTTATCCGTTTCAATTTGTGCAGTCCTATAAAGGGTGTTCATTAAGTCTTGACCCGCTAAATCAATAAATTTATTGATTTAGCGGGTCAAAACTTAGTGAACACCCTTTATACTTAATTCTGCAACAATGGGTGATTTAATTAGATACGGTAAGGTTTTTCACTAATCCTTAGTGTCCATGTTGAAAGTTGGTGCTAATCTACTTTTTTTAAAGCATGGGTCTCTCAGCGTCAATGAATTTATGCGATCGAATATATCCTTCTTCCAAAGCAATTAACAGTGTACAATTGGTATTCAGTTGAATTTCGTACAGATGCTTTTTCAGTTTTCGAAACCAGTAGAAATAAATATTCGAGAAACTGAAAGATTCGTATATAGTTTTGTACGATTTTCGGCGAAAAAGTTCGTTGATAATCCAAACTGAATGTGCCCTTGAGTTGTCATCGTGAAACATGAGACTTCGAAGGTCCTTCCTTTGCTTTCGTTCCCCGACAGTTTTGAATACTTAAGATAGATATCTGATGACCTAGCAACTTGTATTTAATGCTGCAGCGTTTTCTGGCAATAGTGGTTTGATTTAACCAGATTGCATAAAGAAAATTGCATACGCCACTCTTTTCAATCATTGATTGTCTAATATGACATCTGTCGAGCGCAAACTTCACTGTACTTACAATATTAATATGTAACTGAGTGGTTGCTGGCCAACTAGCTAAATACTCGGATGTGGGTGTGGGTTTCGGTATGTTGGTGTTGAGTGTGATTAAGGTTGTCGGCCTGGATGTATTTTTTCTTTCGACCCACATACCCACACTCAAACCCATAATATCATTTTGTTTATAATTATTTAACATAAAAAAACATTCTTACGACTATCGATAAATGATTATCATATTTCGATGTTTTTCTTCATTTTAATCAATAGATAATTGCAATAAGAAGATCATAAAATAAAAGTATAAGAAAATACCACCATTTTTACAATTTGAGCTATCGATCACTAGAATCATCTTTTTGTGATTTTTTTTGTATGGCCATTTTCTCTTGACCAATTATATGATCTTTGTCTACAACGAACAATATGTTATCAGATCAACTGTGAATAGAGAACACAGGTGTTGTGGAATTATATTTTGTTTTCTTGGTTCTTAGTTGATTAGATGACATAAATTAGTTGTGATCAAAAGATAACGTATGAGTAGAATTAGTGTAATGCTTTAATCGGTGGTATTTTATTTAAACAACATTTACATTGATTAAGACGGAATTTTTTTGTTTATTCATGTGAATATTTTTCTTACAGAAAAGTGATCTTTGTGCTTTTTTAGATTTTGTAATATTATTTAATAATAAGTGAGCATCTTTTTTATATTCTTCTGCCTATGAGTTAAGAATGAAACAATAAAAAAGGTTCTTTTTGGTACAGTTGAACTGCAGACTCTATCTACTCGTTTCGGAATTAACAAAATGTGTCAAAATAGACTCTCTACTTCAACAGTAAGTTTGATTTTAGTAGAATGAATGTGCACTTAAACACTCAGAATTATCTTGCTTTTTTTAAAAACTCTTCTTCTGCACATTATGTTTATGTGTATACCTATTTATCTATGTATATATATTTGTTGTTTGATTGTGGTGGTAGATTTATATATTTCTTACCTAATTAGCTTGTATTAATATTTTCTTTATTTCAGAAAATGCAACATGTACTGGGCTCAGTAAAAATCAATTGAAAATAATAGTCTGCATGTCTTCTGCAATGTTCCATATTTATTTTAGTTTTACATGTGTATAATCTCCACTGATTTCTTTCTTCGTTATGCAAACTTTCAGTCTTCTTTTTTCATTCGCGAAATATTGTATAATTGTAATTAATTTCAATTTATTTATATTTTAGACACGAAATCGTAGAGCCTGATTAAATCGGACCCATCAACAAATACACCATGTGAGTGTCTTTCACACTGCTCAATTAATTGACATTTTATTTTTTATCTTTTAGCAAAAACAACTATTACGACAACAACGTCAACAAATCCAACAACTGAATCAACAACAACAACATGCTGCAGCTATACAAAAGATACAAGAACAATTAGCTGCAGCTCAACCACCACCGCCAGCACCAACTCGTCGACGTGCTCGTTTATTCTATCGGAGGACGAAGATGAAGACTAAAAATGTATGCATTTTTATTATTTTTACTTGAATTTTCAAAATAAAACATTTTTCCTTTCTTTTTTAGAAAAGTAATTAACTGTTAAAAAAAATCAATGCAGAAAAAACAAAAAAGAAAAAGAAAAATCGAAAAGGACAACAATTAAATGATATGGCCTAATCATTTAAGCCATTCAAATACACATACACATTGTCTTAATTATACAATTTTATATTAGTTTGCTGGAGCTAATTCAGAAGCTTTACAAGAACAAATTAATAGGTAAACAACATTAAATGTTTTAAAAATGAAAATAAAAGATTTTTTTTTATAGTTTTACTTGACTGACGTGTAGTCCATCGTCCACATCCATGGGACTTAGTTAAATTTCTTGAGCTTTTACGAAATTCAAATTTAAAATTATGGTCAAGAGAATTTATGAGTATTTCATGAGATGATAAACGATTTTTTTAAATTTTTTAATACTTATTTCTAGATTTTTGTGCTTTTTATCGATCTGCTTTATAAATCAAGGTGCTAAGCTTTAGTGGATATACTTAGGGGTCATCCATCAAGAACATCAAGATAACGTCGAAAGATACTGTGACAGTATTACTTTCATCGGTCCAAATGGGTAACCGGTCTAATGGTGAAGCCGATAAGCAGATTAAAAACGTACGGTGAAGACCGGTTGTTTTGCTTAATTCAGACGTCTTCAAGATAATGGCGGCTAGTACTGTCAAAAAATCAGTCTTCAACGTAGTTTTGTGAAATACGATCTAAAAGCAGTATATAAGTATCGAGATATAAATTTAGGTGCCCTCCCCCTCAGATAATGACAGGCACCGTCTGGCAGCAGACCGTGACAGACATTTTAGCGATACATCATTACAGATCGTGAAAGAAGCCTGAATTCTCACTTTTGCAGTGTCAGCAGCGAGTGTGGGATGTGTAGGTGTGGGGTGTGGGATATGGGTGGGTGTGAGTGTGGGTGAGGATATTCTATTATTTCACACCAACACCCACACCCAACCTTAATAGCTCTGCTATTGGCACAACATCTTTAGTTTTTCCTAAGCATCGCAAAGAGGCTAGTAAATCAGCATCGACTGCAGCTGTCTCAATGGCATGGTTATTGACAACAAACGATACTGAACGAATCGTCTCTTGTGCCTTTGATGATGTTTTTTAATTACTTTCTACTCTTGGTATGGATAATGCACTAAAGGAGAAAAAGATACATACATTAAAAAATTTAAATAGTTTTGTTTTAGATGAAATGAACGTGACAGCAAATGCAGTCGATGAGTCTACTGCTGAAGACATAGCATCGGATTCTGAATCTGATGGCATCTTGTATTATGATGACTCAATCGATGAAGAAAGCAACGAACTTGATAATTATTATGATTCAACTATTTACAAACTCACTAATGTGACTGGCGATACTTTTCCTGATGTTTCAATCTTCAATTCGATCGAACCGACAAAGTCCTCTTCCTATTTCAAAGTATAAATCGACGGAAAAGAAAATTTATGCTCAAACAAACAGCACGTTGGCTCTTTACAGAAGAGAAGAAATCTTTATCAGCCGATCAACTACGACGAGCTATTGAACAAAATAAGAATTTAATATTAACTTGAAAATCTTTGTACATATTACAATTGTCTACTTTTGTGGAACACATATATTTTCGAAGAAAATAGTGACTGTAAGTTTTAATTTCGAGTTTTTGTGGCTCCCTCCCACTCCCCATTACAGACCATAGCAATCAATAATAAAACGTGTTAGATTTTCTAGAGTTTTTTTTTTTGAAAATTGATCAAGTTATAATTTTGAAAAATATTGAATATCATTATTTGTGACTTGATTAATATATATGATAGCGTGTAGGATCTGCTGTAGATATCATAGATATGTAAAACACACTTATTTGTCAATCAATTCAATGATTATAATAATAAGAATGATAAATTAAGAAAAACGAATTAAAAAAAAGTAAAAAATAACGAGCGAATAGCAACATTGCAAACAAAAAATAAGGCGCCCATCGAAAAAAGTTAAAAAAAGATTCTATTCGCAATGCAGAAATTAGAGAGGTTCTTACTCTTGTAATTGATTATTCTGCAAAACAACTATAGTCTAAGAGAGATTTTTCAGTTTACATATTTTGTATTAGCTAAATGAGGCTAGAGAGCATATGTGAGTTCCACATTTCAACCCCAAAGAGACTGCACTAACTGGCTTTTTGTCTTGTTTCTTTGTCTACATTTCTTTTTTTATTTATTTAAAGAAAATTGTGTTAAAATCACTTGTACTTCTTTGATTTAATATTATTCAAAAAGATTCTCATGGTAGCTTTTGAGGCCTTGTCAGAGTAAAAATCAAAATTGTGATTGCTTTCGCGGTTAACAAATCTGCAGAATGTCAAAGGTAAAAGTAATATTTGGATAAAGAAACAGATATTGAATATAAAATAAATGACTTTGATGATCTTAGGAAAGGGGATTGGCGCAATAGCAACTTGTTCGTTTCTCAAGAATTGGCATCATGTTCAAGCCTTCCCTCCCTCAGTCCCATGTTTATATAACTCTGTTCTGTTCTTCACGTCTCAAGCTACTCGTTCGTCAACGGTCTATGCATTCTGCTCGCATACAAAATTGGTTCTACTCGGCAAACCATTGCTCATGATTCATGTTATCTTTGCTGATAATTTTATATGCTTTCTGTTTGTGCTTTCCTTTAATTGCTTTTCATTCTTTATAAGTTACTTGTAATCAGCACTATGTCCCTTTAGACCCTATCATGGATAGAAGTTTAAATTAATCGCCAACAAGCGAATGACTTTGATAATCTTTAAAGTCAAAAAAGTCCCAAAGTCAGTCATTTTCCCCTTGCAAACACTAGTTTTCATCAAGTGTGTTCGAGCGATTTTGTGAAAGATATCTGGCTTGATTATCTGTTCGACGATGGAAACTGGTATAACTATGAAAGATCAGATCTTCGTATATGCGTAGCCGCCTATTTTGGACTTCTATCAACATTATGTACGATCTCTCAAACGACTATTCAGAATGCTGCTGAACAGTTTCTGACAGAAGGATTTGTGAGCGCTGAAATCATGATGGAGCTCGAGTTTCTTTCAAAGATGTCTGTCATCACTCAACAATTTGAAACGACTACTCCAGCTCGATTTTCTCGCAGCTTACGGCTCCTACGTGATATCACACATGGTAACGCGTTCGTATCGAGCTATTTATTAAATTGGTATTCATGAGTCAAACTTAACAGTAGTTCGATGACATTTTCCACAAGTCCCGTCACATTTAATAATGGCTGCTCATGTGGACACAAATCGATTATACTGAGTCTTGAGGAGTTTGTCTTTCTTTCTCCAATACTCTATATTTTGCGATGCCCGAATGCAATGTCGGTTGTTCAGCAGTTGAAACATTGCTACGCACAGCACTTGAATGTTTATACAATCAAACCTGTATTAACCTATTACTGTACTATGCTACAACAGTTGACATAGCCTATCCTTGTGCAATAAATGTATCGGCTATGACATCGACATTATCCAGTCGATTTCGGATGAAAACAATGATCCAGGATATTGTCGATGCTCTCTTTGTTGAACAGTGGCAAATAAATGTTTCTTATGCGGCATTTTACGATAAATATGCCGCAACTTGCTGCTCATACACATTCGAGAAACACAACAATTCTCTATACATTGCATCGGGATTATTAGGCTTGTACGGAGAAGTCACCGTTAGTCTACGCTTCATTGTTTCGTACCTAGTTTAACTAGCTTTGATAATTCGAAATCGCTTTTTCATGAACACAGTTACTCCTCTTGCTCAATTAATGCTTACCAGTCTGTCTGCATGTCATTTACAGATTGAGACAAATAAAACTTCTTGATTCTAATCAATACTTGAGCAAATGTCACTTTAGAGACTAAAACGATCAATGTATTCTATAGAATCAAATGAATATGAGTCTTTGAAATGTTGAATAGTGAAAACCAGAGAAAATATACTCTAGGGGCTAGTACGACTTATCAAGACTTCTTTCAGAAGAGAAGCTAGAATCCACAGACATAAGCGAACAGATGAGGGATACCTAGAAAGTTATCCGGAATTGTGATAATTTCGTATTATTTCTTACAGTTCTGCATTGTGTATAACTGATGTCTGGCGCGAAAATCAGTAATGGCCACTAGTACTCGCAGACGAGGTAATGGCAAAGTGACCGGAAATGCTGGACTGATGACGAGGTGTTTGCGTTTATTGAATTGTTCACATAAATGTTACTCGTAATTCTGTCTCGTTTGAATTCCTGCTTATCGTTAAGTAGCTGTGAATACGATGAATACACTGTAAAAAATAGGCGTAGATTAGTAAACCCTGGGAAAACGTTTATGAATATCATAAACTCTTTCATATACCATTTTTAGGATTTATCAATATCATAAACCCTTTCGGTTCATCAACCCTCGGAAGGGTTTGCTATACGTTGTACTTTCATAAACCCTTCAGGGTACATAAGCGGTAATATACCTTTAAAAAGTTGATAAAATTCATCAACCCTTCAGAAAAGCATTTTTCACTCTAAGGATTTTTCTAAAGGGTAGATCAATAAACGCTTTTCTGAAGGGTTGATGAATTTTATCAACTTTTTATAGGTATATCACCGCTCATGTACCCTGAAGGGTTTATGAAAATG